TAGGCAGATTGGCCATGCTACATTGTCCATAATGTTCAGGGATGTGTAGGCTTGGGTAGGTTAGCCATGGAAAATGCAGGGTTACAGGGCTACAATGGGTCTGTGTGGGATGCTGTTTCGAGGGTTGGCATAGACTCAATATGCCAATGGCCTGCTTTCACACTGTAGGGATTCTATGATTGTCTATGATCTAATAACTTGCCAGAGGAAATTGGATAAGTATTTGAAAGAGGAAAAAATACAGGACTGTAAGGAAAGAGCCAGGCAATGGGGCTAATCCGGTAGCTTTACCAAAGAGCCAGAGCAGGCACTTTGGGCTGAATGGCCTCCTCTTGTGTGATTCAGTGTTTAAATCTCGAAGACAGAAAACTCTGTTCTGCACCTCACCTGGTCTGGCCTACATGTGACTCCAGACCCACAGCAATAAATGCTGACCTAGCCAGTAATGTACACATCCTGTGAATGAATAAGAAGAGAAGGTTTACTAGGTTGACCCTGGGTATGGATTAACTGTTTTTTGAGGAGAGGTTGAGCAGGTTGGACCTGTACCCATTAAAATTTAGAAGAATGAGAGGTAACCTTATTGAAGCATATAGAATTCTTAGAGGACTTGACAAGGTGGTTGTAGAAAGGTTGTTACCTCTGGGTGGGAGAGTCTCGGATCAGAGGGCATAAGGAGTGATCAATTTAAGACAGAGATGAGGATGAATTTCTTCTCTCAGAGATATGGAATCTGTGGAATTCTTTACCGCAGAGAGCTGTTAGGACTGTGTCATTAAATATATTCAAGACCGAGTTAGATAGCTTTTAATCAGTATGGGAATGAAGGTTAAGGGAGAAAAGGCAGGCAAGTGGAGTTGAGAATGATCAGATTAGCCATGACCTCATTGAATGGCAGAGCATACTCGATGGGCTGACTGGCCTATTCCTGCTCCTACATCATATGGTGTTATGGACAATGGCTCACTTCTTCCAGGAATATAGATAAGCAATTTTGACAATTCAGCATTACTTCACACTCACTGTTAAGGACGAAGTTGTTTTATTTAATTAGAGGAGCATTCCTTAACTAAACTTAAATTGTACAGTTACTGTAGGGAGACTTAAACTGAAATCATCTGATATTTAATGTAGGTCTCTGGATTACTAGTTCAGACCCACATAGATTACCGTTACGAGTGGTTCTCGTTTTTGAAACAAAAGTTCCCAAAAATGAAAAGAGGAAAAAGTAAAACGTACTTTGCAAATCTGAAGAAACCAGCCAGAATTTGTTAAAAGTCTAATTTTGTGATTGAGAGGCACAAGAGCTGTCTGCAGAGAAACCCAGAAAATACCTTTGGTACAGAGATAGTAGGAACTGCTGATGCTGGAGAATCTGAGATAACACGGTGTAGAGCTGGATGAACACAGCAGGGCCAAGCAGCATCAGAGGAGCAGGAAGGCTGACGTTTCGGGTCTAGACCCTTCTTCAGAAAGACCTTTGGTATAAAGGTTTGTGCTCAATAGGAATGGCATGGTGCACCCTCTTGTGTTGAAGGGGTGTAGCAGCAGCAGACATTCAGAATCGTTCAGTAAGGTGTGGGTACGATTTAAAAAGGAATCAGTCCAATGAGACAATCACTGTTGATGGAAGTATAGAAAAGTTAATTAATCAACATATTGTCTCCTGCTGGAGTTATTGAAAGAAGTGCAGTGGAGTGTAATGTAATGGAAAAATATCACGGAAATGAAAATGAAGAATCTACAAGTGCATTAAGAGTAAGGCCTCCTTATACAGTGAATTAATGTCAGCAACACTCAAGGAGAGGAGTAATGATTAGATACTGAGGAAGATATGGGCTGTTTGCACTGTACTTAGCCTGGTTTTACACGCATGTACTTTGAGCTTTTCTAAGGTGTAAATCCAGCAGAACTCTGAAGTAGAAACAATTTCTGAAGAAGGGTCTGGGCCCGAAACATCAACTTTCCTGCTCCTCTGATGCTGCTTGGCCTGCTGTGTTCATCCAGCTCTACACCTTGTTATCTCAGATTCTCCAGCATCTGCAGTTCCTACTATCCCCAGAACTCTGAAGTAAATCTGCTGGAGGGTAAAGAACTGCAGCACCAACAACACCTCTTAGCACCCCCCTTCCTCCCCTCCCTCAGGCAATGTTCATCGCTGACCCTTCTCCCCAGTCCCAGCCACACTGTACTCAGCACCTCCCACACCTTCTGTCCTGAATCCCTGGTTGCTGTCCTGCCAATGTTGGAGGAGTCAGCGTTGCTGGGCAGTACAGAGAACCTGGGGATATGCGTGGGCTGGAGGAAGGTGTTTGCTGAGCATTCTGTCAGGGTAGGGGGAGTGTGAGAGAGGGCAAGGAATCCCCTAAAAGAGGGATGGAGAAGTTTGGAAAGTGTGAGGTGAACGCCACTGGTAGAGTGAGGTTGTGCATATTGGAGGGTGACAACTCCACTCGAAACATTTCAAGCCAATGGACTGAAGACAGATTGTAAGGCGTAGCGTCTTCAGTTGATGGCAAAAGATGTGGTATAGCTGCAGTGGAATTACATCTAACACATTGCCTCCTGATTCTGATCCTCTCTTGGAGTCTCTGCGGCACCTGACACTGGAAGGTACAATGGCTCCAGTCCCAACTGGCATGAGGGCAGATTAAAGACCAGTCACGCCCTCACCAATACTGACTGTACAAAGTCTGCCAGTGGGTGAACCCTTTTAATGAGATTTATATACCTGCAGGACCTCTCGAGCCCTGAAACAGAACACACTAAATGGTTCGAATCTCCTCCCTACAGCAAGTGAATTGTTCTTGGAGGCCTTTGAAAACTGCAATTTAGGCTAAAGGTGATGTAAATCTCAAAGCAGTGCTTAAGTGAAGCCAAGACTGTGTTCAATCAGCTTGAGAATAGGTGTCCAATGTAGATATTTTCTAATCAACCTGTTGCGACACATTATGACACACCGCTGGCACAGGTGGGACTTGAACCCAGGCCTTCTGGCTACAGAGGTAGGAACATTACCACTACATCACATGAGTTCCAAGTTGTCTATTGTAACCATATTCTCCATTGACAAAGGAGTCATAGTGTAATTACGTTGATCAGTTAAGGGGAGAATAGAATTCTTTGCAGTATATAAAGTAAGGGTAATGTTTTGGAGGGAGAGACAACAAGGTGCAGGGCTGGATGAACACAGCAGGCCAAGCAGCATCATAGGAGCAGAGAGGCTGACGTTTCGGGCCTAGACCCTTCATCAGAAAAGGGGGAGGGGAAGGGGGTTCTGAAATAAATAGGGAGAGAGTGGGAGGCGGAAAGAAGATGGATTAATGTTTTGGAGGGGTTTTTTTATCTTAGACTCTTCTGCCACTAATGACTCATCATGTGGATTCCTGTTCATACAGAGTCAGCAATAACCAACTGACCCCACTCTGAGCTATTCGCACAGAAGTGATTCAAACCCTGAGCCATACAGATAGAGGGTGTTTTGTGTTTGTGCTGAATGAATAATAGAGTGTTCAATGAATGCAACCACACACAAAATAAAAGAAGCAGAGTAACTTAGCCTGGACTAGCTGAGGTCTCAGGCTAATTTGAATTGGTCTGAACAAAAGACCCTTAACCGCTGAGAAATGGTTCTCCTAGAGATCAGCATTGTTGTTAGGTTAGAGGAACCCTCAAGGAAAAAATATGCTAATTTTCACACTACGTGGCCTCCAGCATCCTGAATTATTTAGTCATTAGGAGATGTTGTCACATACGTCCATCACACAAATGCTGAATTGTCCTTGTAGTTGTGTCAGTTAAAGCATGTAGTTAAAAGAAATTGTTGTCCTTATTTGTTTACATACTTGGCGCAATCACTAAATCAATTTAAAATGCATCACCTGTTCACAATGTTCTGTTAACAAAAATGTTCTTTCCTTTCAGGAACATAGTTATCTCTGCGGAGTGTAACCCTGATTATATCAACCTCTGAACTAAAGATGGGTTAAATTATGACCTACCTTTATTAAATATGTTGTCTTATGAACTATGATTTGTTTCAGTTCATTTTTACTTCATGAGATTCCATGCTGTATGACTTTGAGGTCCATTTAAGATAACAAACTTTGTTCCTGAATGTTTATAAGCTCATTATTCTTCTCTTTGAACCATCTACATGCTTCAGAGCATTCCCTCCCCAGGCTTCAGCTATCCTAATACTCATTATGTAACTAGGTCTCCAATCATGATCAATAACACTCCTGTGAAGCACCTTGGAATGTTTAACTATCTTAAAGGTGCTATATAAGTGCACATGTTAATTGTTGTATTGAAGGCTGACCAGGAACATGTCTTCCTAATATATTACTGTTTAAAAATCATTCAGTTCTTCAACGTAATGTATACAAACACAATATGGACGAAAGCTTTATTTTCTTTTAATTCACTAAATTCTCAGAATTCTGAACCTGTTCTAAAGAAGACAGGAACAAAAACAGAATTTGCTGGAAAAGCTCAGCAGGTCTGACAGCATCTGTGAAGGAATAAACAGAGTTAACGTTTTGGGTCCAGTGACCCTTCCTCAGAAGTCATACTGGTCTGAAAACATTAACTCAGTTTTTCTCTCTCCACAAATGCTGCAAGACCTGCTGAATTTCTTCAACATTCTCTGTATTTGTTTCAGATTTCCAGCATCCCCAGGATTTTGTTTTTATTTGAGCAATGATTAGCAAAGTCATGATGCACAGCTTGGTAATTTTATTTTTCTCTGAAATGTGTTTGCTATTTCAGGTTTTGCAGGTCAAGCACTGGACATCTGGCTAAATTGTGGTTGGATAAAAGGCTTTAAACTTTGCTGACAATAAAGCAGACGACACTAATCAGAAGAAAACCACTAGCAGCTCAGTTCTTACAAAGCTATCTGACCCAAGATTGCCAAGCCACGTTTCCGAAAACAAAGCTTGCAAAGGATCAACAACTTTCCATCCACTCTCTGCCTGCATTTCCCAAAACAATTGACTATGTGGACTTACCATACAAATAGATGTATACCTGGACTATGTCTGTGTCTAGCTGGTTTGCTGTACGTGGTTGGGGTCATGCCTATAACTGCAGCACAGAACAACCAACACCATGAGGTGATGCATCATCGTGTGAAGAGAGGTTGGGTTTGGAACCAGTTTTTTGTGTTAGAGGAATACACTGGGTCAGAGCCACTATATGTCGGCAAGGTAAGAACAGGGGAACAAAAGTTTAGCTTTGGAAGAACGATGAAGTGAACCCATTTGCTGCTTTTTTGAGTCCCACATTTATCATCTAGAAAGACACTCAAATACCATTGAATATGCTATGGATTTTCACTCAGCAATGTGCATACAACTGTTACAGCCATCAATCAAATATGGTATCATTAACACAGAAACATGCTCAGGCCTCTCTCCACTTAGATCTAAGGAGAACTGACTCTTGAGTCAGGAAGGGATGGCTGAACGTTGAGTTCAAGAGATCCATTTTGAAGAAATGTTTTACCCTGGAGACAGAGAGAGAATAGGGGAGAGAGAGAGAGAGGAAAGAGAAAGAGAGAGATAGAAGTGAAATATGTTTCCCCAACTGTTTCAGTTTGCAGTGATTAACACGTTCAGCACGTGATAGTTAAAACCCAAGTCCAGAAAGTTGATCATGATTGGTTGTTCTTTTGTCAAGGTCGGGGAAAAGTGTAGGTTGAGAACAGTCTTCAGTCTTGAGCTTATTTAGAACTCTGTTTATTGCATATTAATACTAACTATTACTAAAGATGGTTATCAGGGATTTGGCAAACTCTAATCTTACCTCTCCATTACTGAAAGATTACTCTGCACATATAATTCTCTCTATCAAATTCACTCACACCTCAATATCTCCACCCACACTATTTATGCCCAGTGGAGTGCAACTCTCTGATATAATCACAAGGTTGTACAAGGTCCCAAAGCACCTACATTTCAATTATATTTTCTAAGGTAGGTGCAAAACTCACTCTTAGCTAGTTTCATCTGTGTCTCAAGATGGGAATGTTCTTGCTTTCTGAGTAAGAGGTTTATAGACTCAAGACCCACTCTAGCGACATGAACACAGAAACACACAGCCTGACCACTCAGTGCACTACAGGCAGGGACTGTATTCACCTCAGCTGAGATAGATCTATTAAAAGAAGAGCAGTTGACCCAGTATGCTGGTATTTAAATCCCAGTCAACACCCTGAAAAGAAATGATTGTCAGGTCATTATAATGGTGGTTGCTGTGCAAGCTTGCTGGCATTGCCAAATGACTCTACTTCAAGTACTTAACTAGCTGTCAAGCATTTTAGGACAAACTGACCTCATGAAACATGCCATAGAGTTGCAGTGATTTTGCCACACTCTCTCACACACATTGTGAAAATCTGTGTAAGACCCAAACCAAAATCCCAGTCAAATCCAGCCTCTATTAAACAAAGCAGTTCAACTTAATGAAGTTCAACATTTCTGAAGAAGGGTCTAGACCTGAAACATCAGCTTTCCTGCTCCTCTGATGCTGCTTGGCCTGCTGTGTTCATTCAGCTCTACACCTTGTTATCTCAATTTAATGGATATGTTTTAGATCTTCCTTGCTTTCTAAATATGACAAAAAAAGACAGTCTGAGATCAGTTTTAAGAATTCAACTGTCAAATAAAATCATTAAATAGAAGTGGAACAAGCAAATATTGATAATATACAATATCAACAATACTAATATTTAGAAATAAAACATCTTCACAGAATCCATTAAAAATTGTCAGATCTTCAAATAGTAGCAAATATTGGTTTATAATTATTGAATTAAAATGTGTATCTACTCATATCTTAATGTGATGCTTCCCTCTGCCTCCCTCATCCACTGTAGTATTAGCAAAAGCAGGTAAAGTCTCCATAGTCCTACCAGATCCAAGGACTGCTGTCTCATTACACACAGACAACTGGTGGTGGTTTAACCTGAAGGTCAGCATATCTCAGGCAAGGATACTGTTTGAGAAGGAGAGTCCTTCATGGTAACCTCAGCCCAGTGCAGAAATGGAACCCATGCTGTTGGCATCACGCTGCATTGCAGACCAACCATTCAGGCAGCTCTGCTACAAAGGGTCTTCAATCAAAACATTTTCCTTAGGATCTGGTTCCATCCCATTGATTGGAACAAAGAAGACTGACACACATTTCTACAGAACTGGAATTGAAATGGCTGTAGAAAAACATTTGCGTTTTTTTAAAAGGAAGATGCAGTTAGTTAAGTACATAACGGGACAAAGTGGGTTTGCTCCAGCAAACTGCTGAGAAGCCAGATGAGGAACTATCGGAATAATGTATTGAGACAAGTTGGATTACGACCAGAATTTGTAGAAATCACTTTTTTTGGGGGGGTTAGTGGGAGGAGGGAAGTAAGGGAAAGTACCCTTGATCAACATCCGGTGCTGTTCGAGGAAATTTGAGTGCAGAAGCTTCCAACTCTCGCTTATGTGCCAATTTACTTTGCCATGCCGATCAAAAAAAAGTACTGTGCTTTTCATGAGAAAAATGACAATAGAAGATTTTAAAATCCTATTTTTCCTCTGCAGTGAATACATTTCTTCGGTGTCCCTTGCGAACAAGGCAGAGGAGGATTAACAGGAATATTTTTAAAAAGCAACTTTTCTTTTCTGTCACCCCAGCAGGATTTAGTGGAACAATATTTAGGCTCAGTCAAATGATATCCACCTACCAGTTATTACTCAGTTGTCAAAGTTGAAAGTTATTGCCACTCTGCTTTTGGACCAGTTTTCAACAATGTTGCGAGATTCAGTGTTCCTTTATGGAAGGAAACTGCGACCCTTACCTGGTCTGGCCTACATGTGACTCCAGACCCACAGCAATGTGGTTGACTCTTAACTGCCCTCTGGGCAATTAGGGATGGGCAATACATGCTGGCCTGGCCAGTGACACCCTCATCCCATGAATGAATAAAATTGAGGTGATTCGGCCCATTGTATCTTTGATGGTGCTGTACACATAGTTCCTGTAATTGTTTCCCCTTTGCTTTTATCCAGTTCCATACTGAAGACAGTGACTGACTCTGCTTCCGCTGCCATTGCGTGCATCTCTTATAGGAACATAGGAACAGGAGTAAGCCAATTAGCCACTCAAGTATGATCCACCATTCAATAAGATCATGGCTGATTTGTGGCTTAACTCCATATCCCTGCCTTTGGCCCATAACCCTTAATTTCTTTGCTTAACAAAAATTTATCCATATCAGGTTTAAAATTACTAACTGATCCAGTATCTACTGTCATTGGTGGAAGAGAGTTCCAAACATCTACCATCCTTTGTGTGTAGAAGCACTTCCTAATATCTCTCCTGAATGGTCTGGCTCGAATTCTCAGACTATGCCCCTAGTTCTTGAATCCCCAACCAGTGGAAACTTCGATCAGGTCACTTCTTAACCTTCTAAATTCTAGAGAAAATAGGCCTAATTTGTATAATCTCTTCTCAAAACTTAACCACTGAGAGTCCAGGTTTCATTCTTAGCTCTTTAGCAACATGCCCTCATAATTCACTTTGCAGAGCACAGGCAGTTTAATGTGGGACAACAAGGTGTAGAGCTGATGAACACAGCAGGCCAAGCAGCATCAGAGGAGCAGGAAAGCTGATGTTTCAGTTGTGGACCCTTCTTCAGAAAATGTTCAGAAATTTTCTGAAGAAGGGTCCAGACTCGAAATGTCAGCTTTCCTGCTCCTCTGATGCTGCTTGGTCTGCTGTGTTCATCCAGCTCTACACCTTGTTATCTCAGATTCTCCAGCATCAGCAGTTCCTACTATCTCTGAACCAGTTTAGTGTAGGCTACTTTTAACTTTATTTAGTGTGGGCTCCCTTTAACTTTGTGCAGCCAGAAGCATGTGGTGCAGTAAGGGAGCTCACTCATGCACAGCTTGGGAGTAGTAGAATGGCTGCACAGCTTAAGGAGAGCACTAATCTTTTGGTGCAGTTCATGAAAACCACTGGAAAATTTGGGAAGATTCATAGAATTCTCGAACATTACAGACACAAGCGAGACCATTTGGCCCATTGTGACTCTGCTGGCTCTTTGGAGGAGCCAGCGATTAATACCATTCCCCTCGCAGTTTCCCCATAGCTGTATAAATACTTTCCCTTCAATGATTTATCTAATTATCTTTTCAAAGTTATAATTGAATTTGTTTCCAATGACTTTCCAGGCACCATATTTCAGATCAAGACAACTCATTGTGTTGAAAAAGAATGTTTCCTCATGTCCAGCCGAATTCTTTTATCAATGATCTTAAATCTACGTCCTCTGGTTAGAGAAGGCGCTGCCCCGTGGGGACAGTTTATCTATGTTTACTCTACCAAAACTGACAGTGATTTTTAGCCTTACTGTCAGCTCTCACTTTCTCTTCTTAAGGCAAGGAACACATAGTCAGAAATAAATAACCACGAGGAACTCCGTGACCCTTGATGTTCTCATTGACAAAGGAACAGAGAAGCGAGAAGCAGGAGTAGGCCATTCAGCCCTTCAAGCCTACCCCGCCATTCAATATGATCATGACTATGTGAACACAATATTCTTGCTTTTTCCCCATATCCCTTGATGTCTTTAATATCCAAAAAAAAATCAATATTTTCCTCGAATATACTCAGAGACCTAGACTCCACAGCCTTCAGTGGTGGAGAATTTCACATGTAGCCCACACTCTGAGTGAAGAAATGCTTTCCCATCTCAATTTAGAGAGGTAGTTGGCCTAGTTGCAATATTGTTAGACTATTACAGAGACAGAAGTTGCTGGAAAAGCTCAGCAGGTCTGGCAGCATCTGTGAAGGAAAAATCCGGTTAACGTTTCAGGTCCAATGACCCTTCCTCAGAACGGTTTTAGTTAGACTTTTAATCTGGAGACCAGGTAATGTTCTGGGGTTCGGAGTTCAAATTTTACCACGGCAGATAGCAAGAGTCTAATGACGATCATGAAATCATCGTTGGAAAAATCCATCCAGTTTGGTAATGTCCTTCAAGAAAGGAAACTGCCACCCTTACCTGCTCTCACCTACACGTGACTCCAGACCCACAGCAATGTAGTTGACTCTTAGCTGCTCCCCAAATTGAGATGAGAAAAGATTTCTCCACTCAGAGGGTGGTCAACCAGTGGAACTCTTCTATCACAGAAGGCTGTGGAGTCTAGGTCTCTGAGTATATTCAAGTAAAATATTGATTTTTTTTGGATATTAGAGATATCAAGGGATATGGGGAAAAAGACAAAGAGTATGTTCAAGTAAAATATTAATTTTTTTTATATTAAAGGTATCACTTACAGAGACATTGAGTTATAGAGATATACAGCATGGAAACAGAGCCTTCAGTCCAATTCGTCCATTCCAACCAGAATTCCTAAATAAATCTAGTCCCATTTGCCAGCATTTGGCCCATATCCCTCTAACCCCTTCCTATTCATGCACCCATCCAGATGCCTTTTAAATGCTGTAATTGTACCAGCCTCCACCTCTTCCTCTGGCAGCTCATTCCATACACTCACCACTATCAGCGTGAAAAAAATTGTCCTTTATGTCCCTTTTAAATCTTTCCCGTCTCACTTAAACCTATGCCCTCTAGTTCTGGGCTCCCCCACCCTTGGGAAAAGACCTTAGTTATTCACCCTATCCATGCCCCTCATGATTTTATAAACCTCTAGAAGTACCCCCCTCAGCCTCCAATGCTCCATTCAAAAGGATGGGCAATAAATGTAGACCTAGCTAGTGACACCAATGTCCTGTGAGTTAGCAGGAAAAAGGTCCTAAATGTCCTGTGCTGTATCCTAAGACATTTGACCCCTGGCTCTAGACTCTCTGACCAGGAAATAGGATAGCAGGCAATAGCAAAATTAATATATGAAGAGATTGAAGTGGAGGTGGAAAAAAAATCAGCATTATCAATTCATTACAGCTTATTGATTAATTGTAATTCTAGCTTCATTCCGACATGGATAAAGGAGAAGGCTCTGTCAGGTACATCCTGTCAGGTGACGGAGCTGGTACTGTTTTCACCATTGATGATAACACAGGAGACATTCATGCTGTACAGAGGCTAGACCGGGAGGAGAAGACACACTACACACTACGGGCACAAGCCTTAGACAGGTGGACTGGGAGGCCAATGGAACCAGAGTCGGAATTCATCATCAAGATCCAGGATATCAATGACAATGAACCAAAGTTTCTCGATGGGCCCTATGTGGCCAGTGTTCCTGAAATGTCTCCAATGGGTAAGAATTTACTTTTCGTGATAGTTTCTTCAAATTCTAGAACGTTCCTGCGAGTTACTAACGCTTTATAGCAGTGGTGCTGTTGCAGCTCCAGCTCCAGGCTGGAATTCCTTGCTTCTCAGTCGGATCTTTTTGGGTTTATGTCCAACTCCAGGATTTCAGCGTGACAGTCAAGGATGGTGCTTCAGCGTCACAGCTGGTATCTTCTGAAGGAGGCATTTACCCCCATGCCCAGCCTGCCCTCTGACCTCCCAAATGGTTATGTATGACTGTTTCAAAGAAAAGCAGGGGCATTTTCCCTAGTGGCCTGACCAATATTTATCTGCCACACAGCGTACACAAGGGTGGCACGGTGGCTCAGTGGTCAGCTCTGCTGGCTCACAGTGCCAGGGAGCTGGGTTTGATTCCACCATCAGGCAACTGTCTGTGTGGAGTTTGCATATTCTCCCCGTGTCTGTGTGGGTTTCCTCCGGGTGCTCCAGTTTCCTCCCACTGTCCAAAGACGTGCAGTCCAGGTGGATTTGCCATGCTAAATGTGGAGTTATGGGGACAGCAGCGGGCCTGGGTGGGATGTTCTTCGGAGGGTTGGTGCAGATGCAATGGAACCGAATGGCCTTTATCTGCAATGTAGGGATTCTACGATACTAACATTGCTAAAAGACACATGATCTGGTCATTAATGCATTGCTGTTTGTGGGAACTTACTGGGTGCAGTGTATCCTGAATCACAGGTGGATGTACAGCTCAGAAGTACTTAATTGTAATGGTTTTTGGTTTTGGTGTGAAAGGTGCTATATAAATGTAACTCCTTCTTTTCAACTGAGATCATAAAATCACATAGTCATGATTTTTTATAGTCACTGCAATATGAGCCTTATGGCTGATATAACTTGTACAAATTCTCCTCTTCCTTAAACTGAGCTGCTCATATAAACCTGATTACAGACTTTCAATATTGCAAAAAAGAATTGGTGACTCTTTGGAGAAATGAAATAAATCGAAGTATACCACAGTAATTTTTAGTAAGTAGCAATTGTATCCACATATCAGATGTTACATTATTACACCAGTTACAACGTAATTTCATCCATATATTGCATATGATAAACCAGCATTTAAAAACTTATACCAAAAGGATTTGACAATAGTTGATATTTGTGCTTCTCTTTTGAAATGCCTTCCTGTTGATGTGGTCATGTTGATTAAAGGACTAGGAAAGCTTTTGAATCAAAGTAATCCATCCTCCATAACAGCTATTGCTGTAAAGAAGGACATGTTGCTCAAGGTTTTCATTCTCCAGGAAAAATGTAAGAATACCAAATTCCAAACACAACTCACGACAATTTATACCACAGGAGAAAAAGGTGCTGATTTGTTGTCCAGTTGACACTGATTGGTCAAAGTGTTGTTGTGGAGAGAACAACCTGGAATTATAGGCTCCCCAGGCTCCTGGCTAATTTAAGAAAGGTACAAGGTACAAACCTGCACCTTTTGTTTGCAGAGAACAAATGCTGCTGTTATCAAAGTATATGAACCACATTACATGCGCAACTCGTTAAACAAAAATGTGAACAGGAAACAAGAGAAGCCCTTGGAACCTGCTCCGGGATTCATAGAATACAGTGTTCAATTCTGGTCTCCCCGCTATACAAGTGAAACTTGAAAGAGTTCAGAAAAGATTTGTAATAATATTGCCAAGGTTGGAGGTTTTGAGCTATAGGGAAAGGCTGAATAGGCTGGGCTATTTTCCCTGGAGAGTTGGAGGCTGAGGGGTGACCTTACTGAGATTTATACAATCATGAAGGGCATGGATAGAGTGAGTAGTCAAGGTCTTTTTCCCAGGGTAGGGGAGTCCAAAACTAGAGGGCATAGGTGAAAGGGGAAAGATTTAAAAGGGACACAAGGGGCAACTTTTTTACTCAGAGGGTGGTGCATGTATGGAATGAGCTGCCAGAGGAGGTGGTGGAAGGTGGTACAATTACAACATTTAAAAATAGCTGGATGGGTATACGAATAGAAACATTCAGAGGGAAATGTGGAAAATCCTGGCAGATGGGACTAGATGAATTTAGAATATCTGGTTGACATGGACAACTTGGACTGTAGGCTCTATTTCCGTGCTGTACAACTTTATGACTCAATGACTCTAAGATCATGTCTGGTCTGATATTTAATCTCAACTCTGCATTCCTGCATACCCCCGATAATCTTTCATCCCCTTGCAAAATCTATCTACCTGCACCTTAAAAATACTTAAAGATTCTGCATCAACTGCCTTTTGAGGAAGGGAATTCCAAAGACAGCGAGAGAATTCTTTTCTCCTCATCTCCATTTTATTTTTAAACTATGACCTTGAATCTAGATTCTCCCAGAAGAGGAACATCCTTTCCACACCCAACTGGTCAGGTCCCCTCAGGATCTTACATGTTTCAATTAACTCACCTTTGACTCTCAATTGTGCCACAGTTATGAATAAAGTAAGTATTTTGAACCAAAAATATTGATCAAAATCTTGCCTCACCTTTAAGAGAAACACAGCTCATAATCTGAATTTACAACCATAACAAGTGGCATGGTGGCTCAGTGGTTAGCACTGTTGCCTCACAGTGTCAGAGATCTGGGTTCAATTCCACACTCAGGTGACTGTCTGTGTGGAATTTGCACATTCTCCCTGTGTCGACCTGGGTTTTCCCCCATGTATTCTGGTTTCCTCCTACAGTCCAAGCATATGCAGATTAGGTGCACTGGCCATGCTAAATTGTCCAGGGATGTGTAGGTTAGGTGGAGTAGCCATGGTAACTGGGGACAGGGTGGTGGGATGAAGTACCCTTCAGATGGTGGGTGCTGACTTGATGGGCCAAATGGTCTCTACCTGCACTGTAGCTATTCTGTAATGTTATAACACTCTTTCTTGCTAATTCCCTGAATTTCTTACCTGGAACACTGTACCTGCCACATTTGTCTTTTGTGGAACTTTTCCAGATCTCCGTAACTGAGGCTATTTTCACTCTGTTTACAAACTGAACTGATGCCTTAAAGTTTTTGAGAAGATTTGTAGCTCAGGTTGTGGATGAGGCTGAGCCGGTGTGTTTGATTACAGACGTTTTGTCACCCTGCTAGGTAACATTGTCAGTGTGCTTCCGGGGAAGTGTTGGTGTTCTGTCCCACTTGTTATTTATATGCCTCGGCTTGCTGGGGTGGTTGCTATTACTTCCGATTCTGTGTTCCAGTGGTTTGTATATTGGGCCCAGTACAATGTGTTTGTTGACGGAGTTCCGATTGGAATGCCAGGCCTCCAGGAATTCCCTGGCATGTCTCTGTTTGGCTTGTTCTATTATGGATGTGTTGTCCCAGTTGAATTTGTGTCCTTCTTTGTCCATGTGTATTGAGACCGCTGAGAATTTGGTCATGTTTCTTGGTGTCAATTCCTGGAGAAAATGGGAAGTCTTGCTCCAATTGTCCGGCGCATTGATCAGACTGTGCCTCGAGTACTGCATATATTGGTTTCTTTATTAAAGAAAGAAATACTTGTTTTGGAAGCAGTTCAAGGTACGTTCACTAGGTTGATTCATACAAGCATACAAAGTAAGCAGGAATAGGCCACCCAGCCCCTAGAACCTGTCCTGTCCTTCAATAAGATCATGACTGACAAGTTGTGATTACTCCACATTCCCACCTATCCCCGATAACCTGTCGCACCCTTTGCTTGAAAGATGTATTTTGAAAAATACAGCCACCTCTGCCTTTTCGACAACTCTGTTTCCACCACCTTTTCAGGGAGGGATTGCAAAGACTGTCAATCTTCTGAGAGAAAGAATTTCTGGGCTGAATGCACTGTCTCATGCAGTAAAAGCTGAGTCAGTTCATAGAATCATACAGTGCAGTCAAGGTCATTTGGGCCATCAAGTTTTTACACTATTCCCAATAGTAGTCCCACTTTTCTGCACTAGGTTTGAATGCTGTGACATTTCAAGTGCTGGCCCAAGTGCTTTTTAAAGGTTGTGAGGTTTCCCACCTTCATTACTGCCCCTCCCTCCCAGGCAGTGCCTTCCAAATGGCCAACATGCTCTGGGTGAAAAGGTTTTTCTTCAAATCCCTTCTAATTTTCCTGCATTTCACCTTAAAATTATGCCCCCTTGTTAGTGACACTTTAACAGCTGCTTTCTATCCACCCTGTCCATGCCCCTCATAGCATTATACCCTTCTAGCAGGTCTCCCTCGACCTTCTCTGCTCCAAAGAAAACATCCTGAGCTTATCCAGTCTCTCTTCATCGCTGAAATGCTCCATCCCAGGCAACATCCTGGTGAATCTCCTTTGCACCCCCTCCAGTGTAATCTCATCCTTCCTGTAGTGTGGAGACCAGAACTGCACATAGTACTCCAGCTGTGGCCTAACAAATGTTCTGTATAGCTCCAACGTCGCCTCCCTGTTCTTATAATCTCTGCCACAATCAAATTATGAGAAGCAGGCAAGGCATGGGTATTAAGGCTATGATCTTATCGAACAGACCCAGTAGGCCGAATGGCCTATGTTTGCTCCTGTTTCTTCTGATATTATTCAAACAAGCTCAATACTGAAACTGTGAGAATTCCAATACAAAATGACCAACAGCATAAATAAATTGGAGCAACATTAACTCAGGTCTGGGACTGCAGGCCACATCATCATTGTGCAAGGCCATTCTCAGTAAAACACATTTTAAAGTGTTCAGCAATAGTGCACTTCAAATGATATCTCTTGCTGCCTGTCATCTGGGCAAAAGAAAACAAACAGAAAGAGATTAAAATTACATCATTCCTCTCCACAAACAATCAGTTGCATTCATAACTCTGGAAATCATAGGCAATGGTTTAGAATTAGGGTTCAGAACCAATTAACCCCTTCACTGCTGAGTTATGAAGTGACTGATAGCTGTACTTGCGACAGTGGTTATATTCTATTCAGTGAAACTTGATACCAAGTGCTCTTGTGGCATGGTGGTGGTGTCTCTACCTCTGAACCAGGAGACCCACAGTTCAAGTCCCACCTACTCTAGCTGTGTGTCATAAAATATCTGAGCCCATACTAATTTTTGAGCTGCTATATCAGAGCACAACTTTTACATCAGGCCCTTCCCAAAATACTTCTCACTGTGACTTAGTTTTCATGCTACAGGACCACCTTAACAGATGTCAATGTCAGATGTGGGGCGTTAGGGTGTTAACATTGTTGAGGGGTGAGCTTTAGTCACTGAAGGTTTGATGGGGTAGGGTGAGCTGGGTGAGAAGAGACATCAAATGTGGTATGGAGTTGAAAGCATCAGATTTTTTTGAATTAATCTAGCTTCTCAAAGAATGTTTTCTGAAGTAGGAATCAAAGACCTGTCTGATAGATCACACCTTCCCCCACCCTCACCCACTCCCACCCCAGTTTTGGGGAAATAAAGACATGAAGATAGAGAGGGACCTAGCAGTTGCTAGCTCTCAAAAAACTACGAAAAGTTATCATACTGGACTTGAAACATTGACTCTGTTTCTCACTCCCCAGTTTCTCCCTGACCTGCTAAGTTTCTTCAGCACTTTCTAGTTTCAGTTCAGTTCTCCAGTATCTGCAGTATTTTGCTGTTATTTGCCAGGTAAAAGCAAAGTTCAGCATATAAAAACCGAAAGAACTGTGGATGCTGTAAATCAGGAACAAAAACAAAGTTGCTGGAAAAGCTTAGCAGGTCTGGCAGCATCTGTGAAGGAAAAAACAGAGTTAACATTTCAGGTCCGGTTCTGAGGAAGGGTCATCGGACCCGAAACGTTAACTCTGTTTTTCCTTTCACAGATGCTGCCAGACCTGCTGAGCTTTTCCAATAACTTTGTTTTTGTTCCAAAGTTCAGTATATATCTTATTGCATTAATAGTCAATTGGTAGCACTTGAATATTGCTAAAAAAAAATACCTTGTCAAAGCTCTTTGTCATGCACTCATCACAACAGACTCAAGAATGCCAC